CTAGGGAATAATCAAATACTTTTAGAACTATCAACTTATAATTAGAATGTTAACGAAATAACAAGAAAATGTTGAACAGTCGCAAAGAAAAAGAAAAGAAGAAAAAAACGAATGCATGATTGGAAGATCTAGTGTAGTGTGTGAAACTTTTTAGAAATGGCAAACTCCCTTATGGAACAATGACGCCCCTTTGCTGCTTTATGGAAGAAATTAATTAATTTTTAGAATGGACCTAAAAAACATTATGCAGTGGGTTCCCTTTCTCATGTTCCCTCTTGAACCAAGTTGGGTTTTCCTTAACCCATACTAATATTAGTATACATCAGAGAATTAAGTAACATAACCTGAATTGTTTAGTATGTGCAAGTTTTTGCTGTGATGAGTCTGATTCTTTCTCATTAATCTCATACAGCTCGTCACTGTTTTCTGGTATTTGTAGATTTCGGTTTTTGATTGTCACAACGATAACCTGAAAAAATCACAATTTTGTTTCACAAAGTATTGAATATTTCTTTCTTCTCATCTATTTCTTTTTACCGCATTAATTAGATAATTATCTACAACTACTCAATTTCAATCTCAACAAAATTATCACACTATGCAGTGCACGATCGATAAAAGTACATGATTCAACGATTACAATTAGACATACAAAATGTTTACATAGCAACATCTCCATCATAGTTCATGTTTAGAGGAGAACAAAGAAACTACTTGGTAAATTACCTAAGAAAGTACTATATGTTACTTACCCTCAATATATTGACCGTATTGTGTACTTTTATGAGAGGATATTAATGAAGCCTATCGCCCTTGAGTTCAATTGAACCCAACTTTTTTGAATGGAACATAGATGTGTGTGCGTGCATGTGAAAGTAACGAAACTATTAAAGTTTCAATAAATATTATATTATGAACCCATAATTTCAAAAATATAATGAGTTTTTAGTGTTACGAAACTCAAAGCGCTGATACATCAATAAGTTTACGTTATCAGTTTTTTATGATTTACTTTCAAACACATTTTGAAAATATTTTTACTTCAAATTGGAATATAACACAAAGCATATATAATAAGAAGAGATTAAACCTGAAAAATTCTAGTAAGAGGGCTTCCAGCAGGACGTTGAAGGCGCAAGAAAGGCTTTCCAAAGGCAAAGAAAATAAAACCAAGTGCAGTACCAACCAAACTGATGAGAAAACCTTTCCACCAAGCTTTAGTTGTGCTAACATAGACAACAAACGTAACTCCAAAAGCCCCACCAATCACAGAACTAAGCAATACCAAATTGAAGTATCTCCCAAGAGCCTTAGCCTCCTTTGGATCCTTCTGATCAAATTGGTCAGCACCCAATGCGGGCAATGCTCCCCTAACCCCACCACTCCCTAATGCAAAGCAGCAAAGTGATGCATAAAAAAATACAGCTTTCCATCCTGATATGCAATTTGGCACCACACACTCTGGTTGCAAACTCTTATAATGAGCTTGGATTGTTATCAGTGCAAATGCCTACAATAATTATTATATAGGACGAAAGTCATGAAAAAATATCTTTTAGAGAAACAGTTTTTCATGAAAAATATTTATCCGGAAAATATTTTCTGATTTGGTTGGTTAGTGAAAACTATGTTCTAAAAAAATTATATTTAAGATTAATGATAATATTAGCAAATCTAATATTATCGATGAAGTTAACTATAATTGATGTTAAGATTGACAATAATTTCTTCTGATTAATTAGAGCAAGTGATAAAACGTATAAAAGTTAAGGTAATTGTAAGTAAAATATCATTCATTCAAAAGTAATTGAAGAAAATCATTTTCTTCCTTTTGATAATATTTTCTAAGCACCAAACACCAAAAAATCATGATGTTTCATTGAAAAACATTTTTTTTTTTGGAAAGATACTCCCCTCATACCAAACATACCATAACATATTGGTTAGTTTTTTTTTTCCAGGTGAATAACTTTATTGTCTTATTGTAAAATGTAGATATAGATGCTAAAATCTTTAACTTACTAGAATTTCGAAAGGTCCAAAAATTAGGACAGTGTGGTATCTGTTGATGTAAGTATCAGAAATGAAGCCACCGAGAATGGAGAGCAAGAACGTCGAGCCCATCAAGTTAGTGAGAGTATTAGCTGAGCCAGTGAGGTCAAAGCCCATCACAAAACTGAAGTATAATCCAAAACTCACCATGATTGCAATAAACCCCATGTTTTCTAATCCAAACAAACCTATAAAAAATTTGGCCAATAAAAAACCAGGTACATGATTAACAAGTTCGTATATTATACATAATAATTGGGAAAATTCTTACCATAGATGAAGGTGGTAGCTCTAAATCCACCTTTTCCTTTAGTTTTGCTTGAAATCACAGAATTATAATCTGTGCTTTTACCCTCCTCCTACAAAAGAAATTTAGAAACAACAACATAAGCATTAATTTAGTGTTTTTTTTTCTTTTACAGAAAAGGGAAAGCGAGCACTTACCATGGCTACAGAGACGAGAGAGGATTGGCAGTAAAGACCAAAGTATCTTTTTAGGACCTTGGTTTTGATAGATGAGGATTTATAGTTATAATGCGAAGAATATAAAGTAGGAAAAGGCTTAGAGTGGGAACGTTGCATGTAACGTTCATGGCATAAAATTTATCGCTTTCTTGTTGTGAGAGGACGTCACTATCATTCTCTTTCTCCTTGGTTCGCCTTCAATGTTCATGATTAAGATGTGCGTGGCTGGCATCTAAGTTGGGGCTTACTTCACTTTGACAAATGACAATGCCCATTAATACATTAAACTATACTCCTAATATATTTGTCTTGTGGGCACACTTCGCTAAAGTATCTATTGAGTATTTTATTAACTTTATAACTCTCTCATTTCAGCCAAACAATCCTTGTTTTCTCAGTTGAAATGTATCTTAATTTATATTTCTTTGTTCTTTTTTTGGGTATGATTTTGGGGGTTGGGCTATTGCTCTTCCAAATTTTGGCGCTACTATGCTAGAGTTGGCTGGAGAAGTGATAAGTTTAATACGTATAAATAGCCAGCTCTTAAGGGGTATGCACATCTCATGTGTCCATTTTTTTAATCTAAAAATATGTCCTTTTGAAAAACATAAATATATTTGTTTTTTGAAAATGTCAATATAATTCTTACAATCAAACACCACTATAAGTTGTTGGGAATTTTTAAAATATATATTCTTCGTGGCAAAATATTTTATTAATATAGCCTCATCACAAAAATTCTCGTAGCAATAAGTATTGATCCTCAACAACGAAATATTAAAGTTTGCAGCTAACTTTTAGTTATGGTACTTCTAACTACGGATGCTACGGAAAAACAATTTGTAGCTAAAGTGTTTAGCCACATAAATGTTCATATTTAGCTACGACGTACTTCGTAGCTATATATGCATAATGTTGTAATGAAGGTATGGAAGAAAATGAGTTCGACTATCACGATTAAGGGTGTACAAACCGAAAAGTCAAACCAAACCGATTAAAAAATCCGATTAGGTTTGGTTTGATTTAGTTTAGTATTGAGTTAAAAAAACCCGAACCAAACTGACATATAAATATATAATTTTTATATATACTTTTAAGACTTTTTATAAAATTTTCTTTAAAACAAATGTCTAGAAATATTTGCGATTCTCTTATGGGATATATATTTAGTTAAATATGAAGTGCTTCATATTTATTAACTTTAAATTATTAGTTTTATGATCACTTTCTTATCAAGTATTAGTGAAACGTGTCAATCTCTTTGTTCTTCCATATTTATATGTCAAGATCTATTAAATGCTTATATCTTTCTCAAGTTTGAATCTTATTTCGATAATTTAAAATTAAATAGAACATATCATAATATAGGCTCATATTTATTTTTATGTTTAATTATTAAATTCGGTTAATCTGAAAATGTACATCAATGTAAAATTATTGTTAAATGACTAAAAAATAACTATCATGTGTAACTAAGAAAATTCTTCCATAAAAATATTTTATTAGATCATATATTTGTTATTTTTTAAATTTTTACTAAACATATATTTACTTATAAAAAATTTAACAAAGTAATATTGAAATAATATTCACATAACAAAAAACCCGAAAACCCGACAAAACTGAACCAATCCAAACTGATATAGTTGGTTTGGTGCTCTGGCGATGCTTGGAGGCTAAAGGGGTCTCATTAGCCTACATTAGGGTGATTAAGGAAATGTATGATGAAGCTAAGACTCGGCTTAGGGCAGCGAGAGGAGACTCAGAACCCTTTCCGGTTAGGATGGGGTTGCACCAAGGATCAGCTCTTAGTCCATTCCTATTTTCCTGGTGATGAACACATTGACGAGACACATTCAAGGTGAGGTACCATGGTGTATGTTATTTGCTGATGACATAGTTTTAATTGACGACACGCGAGGTGGTATTAATGAGAGGCTGAAGGTTTGGAGACAGACCCTAGAGTCTAAGGGTTTCAAGTTGAGCAGGACCAAGATGGAATACATGGAGTGCAAGTTCAGCAATGGTACCCAGGAAGGAGATATGGAGGTGAGGCTTGATACGCAAGTCATCCCCAAGAGAGGTAGGTTCAAGTATCTTGGATCTATTATACAAGGTAACGGGGAGATTGATGAAGATGTCACGCATCGTATCGGAGCTGGATGGATGAAGTAGAGGCTCGCTTCCGATGTCTTGTGCGATAAGAATGTGCCGCTGAGACTTAAAGGTAAGTTCTACAAGGTTGTAGTTAGACCGACTATGTTGTATCGAATAGAGTATTGGCCGGTCAAGAACTCTCATAACCATAAGCTAAAAGTAGCTGAGATGAGGATGTTGAGGTGGATGTGTGGGCATACCCGGTTGGATAAGATTAGGAATGAAGTTATTCGGGAAAAGGTGGGAGTGACCCTTGTGGAGGATAAGATGTGGGAGGTGAGGTTGAGATAGTTCGGGCATGTTAAGAAGAGAAGTATAGAAGCCCCAGTTAGAAGGTGTGAGCGGTTAGTCGCGGTGGGCCAGATGAGGGATAGAGGTTGGCCTAAGAAGTCTTGGGGAGAGGTTATTAGGAGGGACATGGCGCAGCTGGAGCTGACTGAGGACATGGCCATAGACAGGAGGGTGTGGAGGTCAAAGATTAGGGTAGAAGGTTAGTAGGTAGTCGAGCGTTTCTCTTTATCTTACTCAGTTCTCTAGCATTAGTGTTAATATGTTATCTTTTATTCATAGATGGCTATTACTACCTAGAGTTTGATTGCATTCTTGAATTCGATCTTATTTCATCTTGTTGTTATTCCTATTTGTTGCAATTACCTTTTTTTTCAGTCGTTCTCTAGCCGAGGGTCTGTCGGAAACAGCCTCTCTGCCCTTCCAGATATAGGGGTAAGGTTGCGTACATCTTACCCTCCCTAGACCCCACTCGTGGGAGACTACTAGGTTTGTTGTTGCTGTTGGTTTGATTTTGATAAAAACCGAACCAACTCGGTCCATGTACACCCCTAATCACGATATATAGTTTTATGTGCTTAGTTTAAGCACAAAAAAACATATTTAAGACCTAAAACAACTTCTAAATGGAGTTCTTTTTTGGGGTTCTAACATATTAAGCTACTAAAGTGGTTGCTCACAAAATATAACATGGTCAGCTGTTCTTTTCCATTTTGAAATCGATGCTTACAAGTTGGAATATATTGCAGGAATGAATTAGGTAACTCAGCCATTTATTCACTGGCTTATCTTTACTTGATTGTCTTATATAGTCTTGTGAAGTAGTGTCAACTGCGTGTAGTGGGCACATATACTATAGTAGTTGTAACATATCCTTTCTCCCAACTCTACATGCCTTGTCTAGTCTAAGAAACCAAATTTAGGTAATGCAGACATTCGTGGGGGCCCTCAAAAAAAACCAAAGAAGATAAAACTAAAAAGCAATTCTTGGCTAGTTACAGTCAATTTCAAGTGGACTTTTCTGCAGAATCAAATAAGTAAAGAAAATAGAGGGCTCCTGGCTCCATCTTAATTGAGAAGAAAAGGAATGCATATGCACATCTTCCTTATTACAAAAGTGATATCTGTGTGACTTGTCCAAATACTTGTTTAATTGAAAAATACAACTCACAAGTATATATGATCTCCAAGTTGATAAACAAAAATAACATGGATATGCCTTGACCAAAATTTTGGTGAGCAAAAATCGGACCATAGGAAGCAGAACTTCCTTTATAATTTTTCCAATTTCTACTCTTTTTATTACAGAACAATAACCTACTCAATACTTAGATCCGTCTCTATCCAAACTTTCTATTTCATCCCTACATCCTCCATTAGGAAGAAACTAATGAAAAGACTTGGTCTGATCCACCATGTTAGATCCATCTACTTTGTTTAAATTAGAGGTAAATGAATTCTACAATATATATGCGCCAATGCTAGCTTCATTTGTATCATTTGGTTAAATATAAAATAGTTTTAGAACAAAGCATTTATAATGCAAGTCTACTACTACCATTTGAGTTGGGAATTCTTTTCATTCTCTCTTTGGATAACACTACTAAAAATTCACTTAAAACCGTCCAAAAAAACTGATCGATTTCGGTCGGTAATAGCCAATAACCGTCCAAAACGCGATAAATTACGTGTGGTCGATAATTTAATGGTCGGTAGAGCATACCGATCAAAGTCGGTCGGTATTTTCCTAACTGTAATAATTTGACCGGTCATTTTGAGAATTAGCATTCTGTTCGGTAGCTTAAGGTCTCGAGTAGCTTTGTATTATGTATTATGACTTACGTGTGTGGTCGAGTTCGATTTTCGGATGATTCGAGATTGATTTGGAAGAACAAATTTTATTTTAGAAGCTTAAGTAAAAAGAGTTGACCAGACTATAACTTTTGTGTAGACGACTCTGGAATGGTATTTTGATGAATCTCATAGCTTCGTACGGTAATTTTGGACTTAGGCGTATGCTCGGATTTGGATTTGGAGGTCCGTAGGTCGATTTGATGCATTTTGGCGAAAGTTGAAGGTTTGGAAGGTTGAGGCGTTTGACCGGGAGTTGACCTTATTGATATCATATTCGAATTTTGATTTCGGGAGTTGGAATAGCTCCGTTGTGTCATTTGAAACTTGCATGCAAAGTTTGACATCATTCCGAGTGGATATGATATGATTCGGTGCGAGTTGTAGAAGTTGAAAGTTCATAAGTTCGATTTGAGTTGCGATTCATAGTTTTGATATTGTTTGATATAATATGAGGCCTCGAGCAGGTCCATGTTATGGTATGGAACTTGTTGGTATGTTTGGACGGGGTCACGAGGGGCTCGGGTGAGTTTAGGATAGGTTTGGGTTGTGTTGCGCTCGTTTTTTATGTTTCGACGTCATTTCTTCAAGCATAAATGATATCACATTAATAAAATAAGATCCAATTTCTATTTCGATTAAAGCATTAGATCCATATCATAATTACAGAGTCATAGCAAAAAGAATCGTCGAATTTGGACATCGTATGAGAGAGTTATGCTCATTTTAGTGTCGGAGAAGAGAGTTGATGCTGGTGCTTCGCA